TCTTGGTGCAAGCAACACGTGCATAATACTGGATGCATGCTTGCATTGCTCACTTTCCTATTGTCTGCCATCTGTTACTCTTCATAGTTCCTGAATACTTTCCTTTCACTAGAGGAGAGTACATTGCCAAAGAAAGTGTGAGAATTAGTTCATGTAGAACAGGGGTGTCAAACTCGCAACGTCACATGACGTGTTGTGACGTATCGTGACTTTTTTTGCCATTGCCGGCAATGGGGTGGGCATACACACACAAACACACACACACACACACACACACAGTATATATATAACAAATTAGCCATCAATAGACACATAGACATAAACAATATCTAGATACTGTGAAAAAGAGACAATCAACAAACCGAAAAGGGAACAAAAAACCCCAAACACCACCCCACCAGCAATCAACACTCAAATGAGCATAGATTAACATCAGTCCAACAATCAAGTGAACAATAATCCATTCAAGCAACTGCCAAACAAGTCAACAATAAAGAGCCTAATCAAAGACCACCCCAGGGAAAGCCACTAGAATATAAACTGGGAGCAAACCCCACTCCTTATTAGCACTGATGATGTTACCTAGTTTGAGTAATGAAATGTCTGCAAGAAAACAAGCAAGCTCAGAAAGCACCAGGGACCCCTCATTTCAATTCTGAGCTACAAATATTCTCCTTTATTAATTTTATTCTACAGTCACCATGAAAAGCTTTAAAAACAAAAACTAATCAAAATAAGTGTTTAGAAGCAGAAAATTGCATTCCAAGAAGCAATGATGTAATATACTTTACCACCCCAAAGACCATAGACACCCCTATATACTGGTCTGAACACTGTTCTGTAAATTGTGCCATCTACTAGTAAAAGATGCACATTCAATAATTCATAAATTCAAGCCCTCTCCTATTCCAAAAATGTACACAAACATTGTATGGCCAGGGAGTAATGTCAGCAGCTTTGTCCAAGGAATAGATCAAACTTGAAAAATGTTCTTGAATGTCCAGCTGCGGGGTGAAGCCATTAATGGGTGGGAACTACTCTAGATGAAGGTGAGGTTGCACATGCTTGTGAATGTAGCCACCCTAGCCTTCCTCTGCTATCCCTAAGGCTACCTGCTCAAAACCTGTATGAGTTCAGCACCACAGGCTAGCAGGCCACTCATTAAATTACAATGAGTGCTCATTATACCCAGTAAATGCTCATGGTATTTTAATGAGTACAACAAACATTCTGCTGGGAAAAGCTCAAGGGTGCAACAAAAGCTTATAATAGTAATACACAAGAATAATACACAAGAAGTTATTTGAAAAAGGAAACTTATGGCAAGTACTTTCAATTTTACATACTGCAAATTTTGAACCAAGCATCCAAAATGAGAAGAAAGTATATGTCACACAAACACATAAGGTCTACTTATTTTACTTTGAACTTCATGTAATCTCTTTCTTGGGCTTTGGGATATCTCAATTTTTTTTAAACAAAAATAAATCTGAAATCACTCCAAAAAGCATAGGCTACAACATTACAATTCGATGCATTTTACAATTATGAGACAAATATCTCTGGGACCTACCCATAGTAGTGCCCATGATACTAGAGTTTTCAGAGCTCACTGGTCAAAAAAGACCCAGATTTTGCAGGAATCTCATGCAAGAGTAGTATAACTCAGCTGCAAATTGTGTTTGTCAATAGAAAGTTTCAGTCCCCAATTAAAAGGTTCTTAGACAGCATTCTATCTGACTTGGCAGATGTTAGCCTAGATAGATGAAACTGTGACATACGCCAAATGAACATCTCTATACAATCACAGTTGTAAATGTGTTTTGTCAAGTCTGAGGAGATCTAGAAAATGCAGAACTAGACGATACAGATTTGTGGGTTGTGATCTGAATCAGCAACTTATAATGCTACCACGCCAAACTGGTTAAGGATATATATGTTTAAAGCAGCCAAAGCAGCCATAGACCTATTACCACAAAACTCTGAAGTTTTACTCAATATTGTCCATACCCAGACCACTATTTTTAAGGCAGACACTCGTTTCACCAGACTATGTAACAGTTGTGTGCATATACTGGAGGCATTTTTTAAAACTTTTGGTCCTTACTTAGGTATCTCATTTCCCCCCTCACATGAGGTACTAATAGCACTCTATAAAGCCTTAGTAAGACCACACCTAGAATACTGCAACCAGTTTTGGTCACCACACTATAAAAAAGATGTTGAGACTTTAGAAAAAGTGCAGAGAAGAATAACAAAGAGGATTAGAGGACTGGAAGCTAAAATATATGAAGAACGATTATAGGAACTGGGCATGGCTAGTCTAGTGAAGAGAAGACCAGGGAAGACACGATAGCAGTGTCCCAATATTTGAGGAGCTGTCATAGATAGGAGGGGTTGACCTATTTTCCAAAGCACCTGAAGGCCAGACAAGGAATAATGGATGGAAACTGATCCAGGAGAGATTCAATCTAAAAATAAAAAAAAAATCTGGCAGTGAGAACAACCAACCAATAGAACAGATTGCTCTCAGAAGCTTCATCACTGGAAGCTTTCAAGAAGAGACTGGACTGCCCTCTGTCAGAAATGGTGTAGATGGTCCACTAAATTTTTGGTTAGGACTTTTCTATATGTGAAGTCTAGAAGGGGAAAATAAGCAAACATATCATAAAATGTCTAGCTGTTTAAACATTTTGATATTTTTCTGTTTTGTTTCTTTTTAAGTAATGACTGTTCATTTTGTCATTTATAATACAACCATATATAGTAAAGCGATATGGCTTTCACTAGAACTCGGATGGAAAATGGAAAGAAAAAGGAGGTGATAATATAACTATTCCCATGAAGGTCTTCTATAAAAGACCTTGCATTTTAGTTTCATAAGACAGTCAATGAAAACTTTCTTTACAGATTTGTCATAGGATTTGTTTTTCAGTCATCCCGCCATCCATGAAATTTTCCTGGAGAGTTTTTTTTTATTATTGTTATTATTTTCCTTTCCTCCTCAAGGAACAGTGAATAGTGAAGACTGTTTTTCAATCTTAAATACATAACAAAGGAAATCACACTGCCCCAGTGGCATTCTCTTTCACTATGTATCCACCAACTTTTAGGTCACTTGCGTAATAACAGTGTAGGACAGTGTTCGTTTTTATGAATGATAACTTCCTTCTCTGTGATAAGCTTTGTTATACAGACAAATTTGGTAATTTTCCTCTTCAGCAAGGAAGATAGATAACTGTACCTTTTATTATACTGACAACTAAGACCTGAAAATAATGTAAACTATGAAAACTTAGCATTGCTTTTTGTTTGTTTTTCCTGTCTCATTTTTTATAAACAAGAACTTTCAAAGGTCATCAACTATCTAGGGAAAATGTTTATTTCCTAAGCTGGACTTGTACCTCAACAAAATCTTTGACAGAGTGCCTCATGATATTACCTTACTCAAACATTAAAATATGACTAGATGATCTCAACATTAGATGGACTCAAAGTTGGCTGAATTGTTGCACTGCAAGAGTGCTCGCCAGTCACCCCAACTTCACATGGAGAGAAATACTGAGTAGAATTCCACAGGACTCTGTTCTGCATCCTGTGCTGTACAATATTTTCATCATTAATGATTTGAGGGGGCATTTATAAAGTTGGCACATGACAAAAACTGGGTGAAGCGGCTCATACTTTAGATAAAAGGTTTTAAAAGAACTTTCAAAAGGGCTTGGTATAAGAAATTATAAGAGCCATGGTAGCACAGTGATTAGAATGCAATATTGCAGGCTAACTCTGCCCACTGCTAAGAAATCGATCCTGACTGACTCAAGGTTGACTCAGCTTTCCATTCTTCTGAGGTCAGTAAAATGAGGACCCAGATTGTTGGGGGCAATATGCTGACTTTGTAAATTGCTTAGACAGGGTTGTAAAGCATTCTGAAGTGGTGTATATAAGTCTAAGTGCTATTGCTATAACATGTTATAACCAACTGCTGAGTTTTAAGCAGAGTAATGTAATGTCTAACTTTATACAACTTTCAGGATATAAAAACAAAACCCTAACCCTCATCTGGTTCTTTAATCTCTGCACACAACCGATTTTAAAGTGAGAAGGAGTATAGTCTGAATGTATGCAAATGAGTGAAAGAGTGGGAAACAGAATAAATTCAGGAGAGCCCTATAAGCTTGAGGTATTCCCCATTTCTCTGGTTAGATTCTCTAAAAGCTGCCTTGGAAGAAAGAGAAGGGAAATGTATGCCTCCAAGCTACTAATTAAGAAAGCCAAAACATTCCAAGGCATTGTGTGAAACTCCTAAACTTCAAAGTGTTCAATGGAACAGGACAGACCCACATTTAGGTAGTGATCCAAGGTGTTGAGTAGAACTCTTAAGATTTATTTTATCTGTTTTTATTTTAGATTTTTTTAAATCCTGCCTTTATTATTTTTATAAATAACTCATGATGGCAAACATACCTAATTCTCCTTCTTCCTCCAATTTTCCCCATAACCATAAACCTGTGAGGGTTGAGAGAGTGAGTGATTGGGCCACAATCAACCAGCCAGTTTTCATGCCTAAGGCAGAACTAGAAGTTACAGTTTCCTGGTTTCTACCCTGATCTCTTAACCACGAGACCAGGGGTAGGCAACCTTGGCTCTTTTATGACTCATGGACTTCAACTCCCAGAATTCCTGAGCCAGCCATGCTGGTTCAGGAATTCTGGGAGTTGAAGTCCACGAGTCATAAAAGAGCCAAGGTTGCCTACCCCTGCACTAGACCAAACTGGCTATAGGGAGAACTCCAAATTAAAGTACAGATCATTGTGTGAAATAAGAAGAGAGAAAGTAGATCGACCTCAAGTCTAGCCTATGTCTAATGCTTGAGCTCATTTTAACCATTCTTGAGATCCAAATTGTTAATTACTATTACAGCTGTTATACCCTAACATTAAAGCCTGAAGAAAATTTGTTATGTACAAGTCTTTTCAAGCAAAATATCATCTACTTACAATTGTGAAATTCATAACTTTGAGAATCCAGATGGTCATGGCAAGATTCACCAGGATTAAAATCATTAGAAGTAGCACAAAGAAATAGAGGCACCTCTTCCTCCAACCATAAATTCCCACTTTGTATACATGTGGTCCTTCTGAGCTCTGCATGGTGCTTCTCTGGGCATACTGTTCCTGAGGCATCTGGAAAAAAATATATATAACCAGACATCATAGGCATAAACTGTAGGACATGTTGAGACTATATATTTCTTTATTTAAATGATTTAAATGGCTGCCGATCTCACAACAATGACATGAGGCAGTATACCAGGATAAAACAATAAGCACATCACAAATCTCTAGGTGACCAAGATTAATACTATAACTTTAATCACAGAGGTGAAAGGCTAACAGGGTCAGGACCACCCAGATGCTTTTTTAAGTGAGGACACAATTTGTAAGTCCAACAAGATAGTGTCTGGCATATGTCCTCTCCAAGATCTGGTGAGAGAAACAATGTAAATCCTACAAATAGCTTTTTACAACTGAATATAAAATAAAGTATTTTGGAAATACCTGCGTAGATAAGATACCTTTTTTGGCTTTGTGACTATATTGCAAGTACAGATTCTTCGTTACTGAGCTGCAGAAGCCTAATTTTAAAAAATGTAGGATAAAAAAAAACATATATTGTCAAAATAATATTATTAATGGTGTGGGTATGTTCTTTCTTGCTTATTCCTTTTTGCTAAATTGTAAAAAGTACAAATCTAAAGAGGAGATGGGGAATAATTTAATTTGGTCCATATTGATAAAATGAATCGACCCAATTCACGCTTGCCAGAATTTTTTAAAAATGGGCTTGTATGCAATCATTACTCAGGTTTCATAACTCACTGGATTTTGCAATTATATTTTTGCAAATACAAAAATTATTTTTAAAGAAAAATATATGTTAAAGAATATGTTATGGAAAATAACACGGAAATGTTACCCATCAGTTGTTTGACAGTTTTTAGTTTTTAATTTAGGTATTGACCTAGAAAAAGAGTAGAATGGATTTATGAAGAAATATATGTGAGATTGATCCCGATCAATGAAAAAAAGGCTCAATCTAGTTGTATTTGGGTCAGAAGCAACCGGGAAACACGAGGACCGTAGTAAGGGCTCAAGCTAGATGAAATCTTTATGTGAAAATTGAGCAGATGGACCCCTATCCTGAGATCAGAAAGAAAACAGCCATACATCCATCGACTCACAAAGACAAGAAGGCCTAGGCCAGGGGTAGGCAACCTTGGCTCTTTTATGACTCGTGAACTTCAACTCCCAGAATTCCTGAGCCAGCACAGCTGGCTCAGGAATTCTGGGAGTTGAAGTCCACGAGTCATAAAAGAGCCAAGGTTGCCTACCCCTGGCTTAGGCTTTAAAGTCTGGAGTAGACATATATAAAGAGCTTGATTTCTGAGTTCTGTGTGTGCATGTGTGTTTGTGGGGGTACATTTTCTGTGCAAATACAGCATTTAGATCATGAACACTCTGAGCCTATAATAAAGCATAATCTAGTCATGTCTTCTCTCTGAACTTCTGCTGTAAGCAGATTGCTACCTGTCTGGGCAGTCAAGATTTATAGCTGAATCTACAACTAAGAAGTCCGACCAGGGCTTTGCAATAGACTGGGAAGCAAAGCAAACAAATATGAAACTTCTCTATGATAGCTTTATGAAGATGCACTGCAGATGCTCTTTCTAGTTCCCCTAGAAATTCCCCATTAAGTCATTTGTTTCAATAACTTTACTATATATGGTTGTATTATAAATGACAAAATGAACAATCATTACTGAAAAAGAAACAAAACAGAAAAATATCAAAATGTTTAAACAGCTAGAAATTTTAGGATATGTTTGCTTATTTTCCCCTTCTAGATTGCTCCCAAGCTATTAAGTTCACGCAGAATGGTGCTCAGTCTTTACTCTTTCCTCCTTCAGGGAAGAATTCACTTTCTTCTTTACTGGCTAGGCCTGTTCAGTTTGAGTTAGTTTTAACAGGGATTTTAAGGTTTTTTTAAAAAATATTTTCAGTTGCCTTAACTGCCATATAGGCAGAAATCCTAAATGCATGTGTTTGCCTTTAATTTGGTGTTGACCTCCGGTGATGGCCTGGACTGATCTGGACTGCCTGGACTTGCAAGTTTTCTTGGCAAGAGTTGGGGTTTTTTTGGGAGGAAGTAGTTTGGCATTGCCTGCTTCTTTTGAAGGCTGGCTGAGAGAGAGAGTAACTGGCTGAGGTTCCCTCAACTGGCAATGATACAGTTGGACGGACAGGTATGTCTGGTTTGTGTGTTTTACTGTATCCCTAGAAGTGTGGGAGGACAGGTCAAGAGAGCTCTCAGTGACCTTACCAAGAAAGAGAAAATCACTAAGAAGAGGAATCCGTGGAGAATGAAAAGCAAGGGTGGACCAGTCCTCCCATGCTTTTATGGACACCCAAAACACACAATCTATACATGCCTCTCTGTCCAACTGTATTGTTATCAGAGATCCAAACCTTCAAAGAGTTGGCAAAAAAGCTTGGACACCTCATAGAAAGAAATAAATACTCCATCAACTCCCCACTATAGTGCCTGCAAAGAATCAAAGATGTGACAATAAATAAAGATAAAACTGTGATCTTATTTAATGTCACAGCACTCTTTACATCCATAGTCCTAAAATCCATAGTCCTAAAATTGATCAAACAGGATCCAATCTGAGTTGGTCACCGGGACCAGAGGTTTATTCTTCCAAGCTTTTGGACTGGTGCTGGAGTCCATCCTCAGGGAACTTATCACTCTCCAGAATGCGTGTTAAACAGTTCATGACAGCTCTACTACAAAGTAGACCTGCCCTAACCAAATACACCAAGGTTGAAATAAACCAGAATCGTGGTTCTCATCAACTTTTGCCTAACCACATACTTTCAGTTTGATGGACAAATATATCAAGAAATCAAAGGAACTCCCAATGAATCACTGCTTTCAGGAGTCATAATGCATTGCTTAGAATCTATAACACTCTCACATATCCAGAGTATGGATCTGATATCTAGATGATACCTTCACCATAAAACAAGAACTAACTGTAGAACACACACAAAATTTCTTCAAAGGAATACAATTCATAATAGAAAAAGAAAACAACAACATGCTCCCCTTTCCTGGATATACCCTTTCTGGATATTCTCATCAGCAAAGGCAATGATGATAAATTAGAAACACAAGTCTGTCTTAAAACTACCCACACTAATTAAGTGCTCCATTATCAAAGTAACAATCCAACCTCCACAAGATAAACTGTGTAAGAACACTACTTAGACAAGTACAAACACACTGCAGCAACCCTGAACATCATAAAAAGGAAACAAATCATCTATACAACATATTCCAACAAAATGGATGCCCATGCAACTTTGCTCACTCAACCCAATGAAGCACAACCCAAGCTGCAAAAAGTATAATACTGCTATACATCAAAAACATCTCAGAAACTAGCAATAATTACAACCACATGGCATCACTGTACCATTCAAACCAAAGCCCTGCAAAACATCCTAAGTAAATCAAAATACCCAGCAAACCCAGAAGAAAACACAGGGATCATCTACTACAACATACAGTGTAAGGTCTTTAACAGCCAGTATATGGGACAAGCAGGCATCCATGAACACCAACCAGCAATCAGAAGACATGATGAAAACTCCTTAATTTCACAACACATGGATAGAAATTATCACCAAGATTAACACTAGATCAATCAAAAAATAAACAATACCCCAATCAAGGAACTACCAAACTCTGACAAACAAGTTAATAACAAATAACATCCTAATCAAGGAACTATCAAGACCACTCTCACCAATATTGAGAAGGCAGACCACTAGTATATAAAATGAGAGCAAATCTGACTCCTTTCTAGCACTAATCATGTTACCTAGTTTGATAATGAAATGTCTGCAAGAAAACAACCAAGTTCAGAGAAAACCAAGGACTTCACATATAGAAAAGTTCTAACCAAAAATTTAGTGGACCATCTATTGCAATTGCTTGAACTCTGACTGAGACTTGAACATGTCATGCATTTCACCTGCTAGCTCTCCCTATCACAGCAGAGTTCATTGACCAGTGTTAAACTAAATAAAGTAATACATGTTACCATTGAAAGAAAGGAACTCATAAGACAATAGGACCATCATCACTATATTGTCTTTAAGTAACTGCTGCTGCTGCCTGAAACATGCTGCACATCAGGAAGCAATGGATGGATCCCAATGTTGCTATCCTCTTAATGGTGTTTAGCCTATTTTTTATTCTCTGACTGCAATCCCCTTGCACCTTCAAAGTTTGCTCCAGAGGGAGGGTGAATGAGCAGCTTCAAAGGGAATAGAGAACACCCTATTGTGTGAGTAAATATCAGTTCTGCAACATTTAATAGAATAATGAATCCATTCTGCTGCTGTAGTGAGGTAGAAGTAAGATTAAAATACTGCAGAAACATCTGATAATTAAACATAACATATCAACCCCAATATCTAAAACAGCACCCATTCTATTCTTTTGAAATATGACATATGGAAATATAGATAACAATATTTATGGACCTGTAGTGTCAGGAAGAGGTGACAGATCTTCTACTGAACAATATTAGGCTGCTTATATGAGTGCTAGAAGTAGAAGACTGAACTGAAAACATCTCTGGCATATGCTCATTAGCAGAACTCTAAGCAAAAAGCAGCAGTCTGTAGATGCTTAATGAGCACCTAGGCTACCAGTTAACAATCAAAATGTAAATGAAATAGAACAGCTTATGTTTGTTCTTTATCTCTGGTTTCAGAAGGCAATTAGTTCTTAAGATTGTAAATTACAATCCCCATGTTCTATACTAACAATACAGTCACAACTGAACAATGAAAGTTTCAAATAGTTGTTGATGCTATTAACAGTCTGAATTCTGTTGCCTCTTCTTCAGTCCAGACAGAGAAGAAAATGCCATGACCAACTTAGGCAAAGAATCTGCAACACTAACTTTATTTATAATCAGCCCAATGCCAGGACGACAGCTTCTTCAGGTCTGCTCCAAGCAATAGGAAAGAAAATGGCAAGATGCCACAGGCTGATTGAAGCAGTAATCTTTTACCCACTTAACTGGGAATAAGTCCATTCGGCTCAG